ATGAATTGTTGAATGTGAAACTGATGATGTGCCCTGTAAACTTCTACTCAATCCACAATAAAAACCTTAAATTAAAAATAAAAAAACCCAACAAGCTAAATGTATAAGTGATCAAATCTTTGTTAATTGCGTTTCCTCTAGTTATTTTTAGATAATTCGTCCCCATTCTGAAATCAAATCACTATTCAACCTCATTCTAATCTTACTTGATTTGAATATTTTTTAAAATAAGGAAAATTAAAAGCTAATCAACATTAGCATATTTTCTCATTTCGTACATCTAGCTTTACTATACCCTCAAAAGTATTGGCTTTTATCTTAAAGATTCCAATTGATTCCTCACTTCAGGTTTTACAGACATTTCCCCAGAGGAGTTGAGGCTTCAATACCATAACTTCTTAACCAGCAATAACTTACAGAGTTATGTAAGTTTATTTCATATTCATCTACCTCCATAAAAGAGTAGCTGTTACTGTTTTTTTCTGTTTGTAGTTGCTTGTGTATTGGTAAAGTTATGAGGTGTATAATATATTGTTTTTTCTAACTTGTTTCTTTAACATTGGTTGATTATCTAAAATAATATATTTTGACTATTGTTAGCAATTAAGAATTTCATTTTAATTATAAATTACACTGGAATAAGTTCCCGAATTTAGACTCTCTTGTCATTTGATAAACATTCCTTGAGCATATGTGCAGACACTTTGATGATTGCCTTAAATAATAGGTAATGTGTGGTCTTTTACACAGATTTACAGTCTCATATCACAAATATAAAGAAATGTAACGGCTGAGTTTGTATAAGTTGGGTGTCTAAAGGAAACCACATGAACTGCATTTTTCTGTGTATGTGTCTATAGTCGTGATCATGCATTTCAGCTAGTATCCATGTTCAGCCCCCATCTAGTGTAGTTCAGTCTTTGCTGTCAGGTACTCATGACTCTCAAGCAGATGATCCAAGCAGCTAGACTGTGGGGAGAGGATACTGCACCTCAGATGCATTTGGCAGATAGGGGCAGATCAATGGAGATTTTACAAGTTATGATTTATTAAAATGTTGTATGAACTTTTTATGACTTTAGAAAATAAAGATATGAAGTTATTGTTGGGCAGATTAGTTTAAACACCCATTACTGACTAAATATTTTTTTTGTTTTTTCTAGCTAAATTGTGTTCAACAGTTAGTAAATCAGTGGAAGAACAGGGTAAATGAGTTAAAAACTCTAAACACATCAACTAAAGTAACCTTGGTAAGTACTGATGAGTTTTCTTAAGGAATGATGCACTTGTAATTTCTTTACAGAGGATATTTTTAGTTACGGAAATCAAAGCAAAAACTCTGTGAAGAATTGTGATAACATACAACATTGTCAGAAACTGAATCATCATTTAGAGTTTAGGTTCTGGAATTGTCTTTTCTCTGTTCCTTGGTCAGAAAAGCAAATAATTCAACTACTCTGGTAGTGTAGTGGTTACGAATTGGGCTGCTAATATTGGGGTCAGAAGTTTGAAATGACCAGCTGTTCCACAGGAGAAAGATGAGGCTTTCTGCTCACGTAAAGATTTACAGCCTCAAAAACCCTGTACAGGGTTGCTAAGAGTCAGAACTGACTCCACGGCACATAACAACAACAAAAGTGGGGGGGGTTTTGTTTAGACTTTTAAAAAAATGTTTTATTGTAAATTAGGTGATAGTTTACATGGGAGAACATTAGCTTTACATTCATCCTATTGTATATCGTTTCATTGCCATGGTTACAACCCCCTCCATGCATCATCAACCAGCCAAAAGGGTATACACTACAAGCCTGCCCCCCGGTTGTCAGCACACAGCCCCTCTCCCTCTCTGGGTCTAGAGTCCCCAGCCACTCTATCTTTCCACGTCATCATCTCTGCCTCCATCTCTGGCATCACTGCTTCTCTGGGTAGGGTCCCATTCTCTGCTCTTCTCCCTTCATGGTCCCAG